CGGGCTGCAGTCCGTAGGGTCACGAAGAGTCAGACATGACTGAAGCGACTAAGCACGCATGCGTGCATGCATGTATGTATGTGTGCCGTAAAACCTGCTAGGAGGAAAGTAAGACAAAACCATTTCATGGCCACGTCACAGGTGGATATACAAGGCAAGAAGGGACCGGGCAGGACAGGAGAGGCTTGAGGAAATGACCCCTCCCTCCCCCCACGTACCGCCCAGGACCCTTCTCCTGACTCCCTCCCTCACCTGCAGACCCTGAATCAAGTGTCACCTTTGCAGTGAGCCGCTCCCTTCAACCCCATTTAGAACCGTAAACCCCCCTCCTCATCTACCACACACACTCCTTGACATCCTCTCTCCCTGGCAATTTAGCATCTTCTGACCACATTTCCACTTATTTTACTTCCTTTCTTTTTCCCTAAGAAGGTCAGCCCCAAGATGGCACAGCGTCTGATTTGTTCAGTGCTGAACCTCCGCCTTCGAACAGCACCGACCACAGAGTAGGTCTTGGTAAGTCTTCACACATCAGCCTTTCTGACCCCCCGAAAGGGCAGCTGACCTAGCTCTCTATCCCGTGGCCCCTTCTTTTTCTTCATAGCCACTATCGAAGAACTGAAGCTATCTTTTAAAGTCTGTTTACTAATTTTCTCTCATCCCTCACTTGGATGGAAGCTTCACACTAAGAGGAAGTTTTTCTGCTTTGCTCATGGTTGTGTCCCCAGCACGCTAAACAGAAGCTGGCACCATTTGTTTCTTCCATAAATTCTGGCTGAATGAATGACGTCACCCCCATGCCCGTGCCTCATGACCACTGAGCACTCAGTCTATGGCAGGCAGGCTTCACTGTATTCTCCCCCCCAGTCTTCGCAACAATCCAGTGAGGTGGGCACTATCATTCTCCCCATTTTACAGAGTAGGAACTACAGACCGTACCCTGCCCAAGGTTGCAAACTGGCAAAGAGAAGAGCTGCCAATTAACTGCAAGCCATGCAACCTGAGTCTTGCTTCTAATCACTGTTCTGCTGAATTGATGGCAGCCTCACTGCAGGAGAACTGTGCCCCCATCGCTCCAGGGCAGCTGGAGTGGCCTCATCGTCTGGCTCCTTTAAGCCCCTCTCCTGGCCACTGCCACTCTCCACACTAGAGTCTGAGTGATATTTTCCAATGGCAAAACTGATCATCTCACTCTGCTTTACATCTCTTCAATGGCAGCCCATCCATAGAGCACACATGTTGAGGTCCCACTGGCAAAAGGGATCAATATTTATGATAACCTCCCTAGAAGGAGGATACTGTCATCTCTGGAAAAATGACAGGTTATGAAGAAAAGGGTGGACTTCAGAGAAATGATCCACTTTTGAGATGATAATGAGAAAAGGCTTGTTTGGTCTTGATAAGCTGACTTTATCAGTAATTCAGAAATATTTATGGAATAGCAGAGTCTCAGCAAGGTAGATGTCTTAAAATGGGTCTACTTGGGCCCCACCAAGAAGCATTAATATAGGTACATCTTTGACATTCCTTGACTTAAATCTTTTCAGGTCTTAAGATACCGGGCAAAGCATCTGCATTTTGGACAGTATCATATAAACTGTCAGTCAAGATAAGACCCAGCTAGCTCTACTGAATGACCAATAAGGCCTCTTTCTTTGGTTCAACAGTAACGTTACGTAACTTACAGATTCAAATCTGCCCTAACTCAAGCCACAGGTTTCAAAAATGTCCAATATGCGACTTCCCTGGCAGCCCAGTGGTTAAGACTGCCACAACTTCCAGGGCAGGGGGCATGGGTTCAATCTCTGATAGGCAAACTAATAAGATTTCACATGTCTGCTCCCCCCAAAAAGAAAAAAAACAAAAGTGTCCAATGCTTGGACAGCTTATGCCACAAGACAAGAAGCCTAAAGAACTATTACATCTGATAAAATCACCTTGCTTATGCCAGGTCAACAGTTTTAGTACAGAATATGCTCATTCCAAAAATTATTCCATTTCTTCCCTTAAAATATACCATCCTGCCACATGTGACTAGGAAATGAGGAAAAGTAAACACAAAACACAAACCACATTTTGCTCCTAGCATGTCAGACTTTTGAACTAGTGCTGTGTGGGATTCAGAGGAAAGCAAGAGTATTCAGGTCTCTCACATCCTGCAAGTTCCCTAATATGGTCAGAGAAGAGCTCTGCTACTGGGGAAGCTCAATGCTCATCCACCCATCATCCCATGATGCTGGCATTTTACCAGGCTTCCTTGACGTTACCAGAACTGGTCCCTGACTGAAATCACCTCCTGGCCAAGGGTGACCGTTGACACAATCTTAGCTGCTGGCTCTTGCGGCTGAGAGAAGAGGAAGGTCTTAGCAGGCACAGTCTTCCCTGCACCCAACTCTCCAGCCGGGAGGAGCCCCCGCCACGCAGAGCAGCAAGTGTGTGGGCACTGACATTAAACCTCAGGCTCAGGCTTCCCTGCTGGTCCAGCAGTGAAGAATCTGCCTGCCAACGCGGGAGACAAGGGTTCAATTCCTGGTCAGCGAAGATCCCACGTCCCATAGGGCAACTGAGGCCACGTGTCACAGCTACTGAAGACTGAACACTCTAGAGCTCATGCTCTGCAACAGGAGAAGCCACCACAAGGAGAAGCCTGAGGACCACAGCTAGAGAGGAGTCCCTGCTCACTGCAATGAGACACAGCCCAGGTGCAGCAACAGGGACCGGGGGAGCCAAAAAATAAATACACAGAAAGTAAAAAAAATCTTATGCTCAAGACTACCAATGAGTTTGTTTTTTTTTTAAACACATCTTCAAATTATTTAACTTGCACAAATCACCCAGAAAAATGTCTTCCCTCACAAAATGTTTTTTAAAAATCTAGACAGGAGTCAAACAGTCTGGGGACCTACTGAAAAGATATGGGATTTAATGGTGGTGCCATAGCAAATTTCTAATCTGAGCCACGTTATGTAGTTTAACAATTTTCTTTTTTTTGAAATTTCAGAAACGTATTTAAGTACTGACTTTCAGCTCTGGTTATTTTTCAAGTGCATCTATACAAACTAAAACAGTCTACACTACACCAGACAGAAATTAACAGTGCTTTAGAAACAATGACTGTGTATTACAAAATCCAGGAGAAAAAAAAGAAGCCTACAGAAGAAAACAAAACATTTATAGAGGAGAACAGCCAGGAAAGTGAATTTTTCAAGACACTTCATAGGTATAAAAACAATTTTTACTATGCACATTGAATTAGCAGCCCCATGAGATAAATTACTCTTTACAGAGTCTGTGTAATCTAGGTAATAAACAGGATCTACCATTTTATTACAGGAACAAAGCAATACCTGGTTAAATGCACTGCAACAAATTAAGGGAAAAGAAAGTGAGATTATTCAAATTCAGGAAAGATTACTCAGCACTCACTAAGGTGAAAGGCAAACAAAAACATGGAAAAGAGCTCAAATATTGAAGGTTTCTAATTTTCCAGATGTCATTTCAGTTTTCTAATTACAAAATTATAGCTTTAAAATGTAAAACCACCAGGTTATTTACTTCTGATAGAGCTTTCTAATTTCTTTACAAGTTCTTTCGCTTTCAACTCTATACCATGCCCAAAAGAACACTGTTTTTTCCTTAACCCACCCAGATTCCAAAACCCCACTGCAGACCCTCTCAACCATGAAGCATGCAATGACCCTCAAGACCCTTTTAACATGCTGACAGAATCTGCCAATACACAGGGCAAGGACAGCGGGGCAAGGAAGTGTCATTCCCTGGGATTTAAATAGGCCCCCTCGGTCAAACGAGAACAGCTGAAGATGTTAAAGATCCCAAAAGCAGTGCTCCATCAGACTCCAACATTTTAAGCAATTGGGAAAGACAACACAGGTATGAACGCTAGCATAAAAATCTTTCTTTAAATTCAGTGTTTATTTGTCAAATACCAACTTTTTCTTTTATTCCTTTCTGTTTCTGATCTTTGGAAAAACCACATCAGTATCAAATGTCACTCAGTTCTTATTCAAACAGAAGAAAGCAGACATAGCGGCTGCACCCGTGACTTAGCTGACCTGGGCTCTCAGTAAAAACAAACCTCTATAAATCACCAGATGTAAGCAATTGGGTAGTGATCACTTTAATTAATTGAACAGCTTTCCTGAAATTTACTGTATAATTTCAACCCTCCCAACACCTTTCCCAGATGCAACTAACAATGGTGGTTTTCTCCCTTAAGTTGTTTAAAGGAGGAAAACATTTTTAACTTCAGTGGCTTACATGTATTTTTAAATTAATCAAGATGGATGTGGTAAACGACTTCATTTTAGACATCAAACCATGCTCCTTCTAAATGACTTTAAAGGCTGAAAGTCAAAATTATTCTAAAATATCTCCAGTGTGTAAATATAAACACATCATCTGACCTAATAATACAGAAAAATGTAACACAATTTTAATCTTATTTGAAAACTCAGATATGCAAAAGGACATGCAATGATATTTCTAACTTCAATCACCTATTGAATTTTAACTGTATGAAGTAGATAGTTTGATTTGCTGTTTCTCAACTTGATTTCCACCACAGGCACCACACTTAAAAGAAGATACCCCAATGCTTTCTTTTCAACTCCATTTCTCCTCCCCAAATAGCTTATTCTCTATGGAACTATATAATACTGAATCCACAGATCCCAGGCCAACCATTGAGTGATACCTGAATTTAAGTCCTAGTCTACCATGATCAAATACACATCAGTCATGTGAACGTGGCTTCTCTGAAGCTTGAAGGTCACAGCAGTAAAGGATGGCAATGTATAAAGCATCTCTGCTACAGTGATACTCAAAATTTAGGAGTGAGAGAAAAAGAGAGCAGCTAGGAAACAAGTTAACCAGTTTAAAGGAAGCATATTGTGCTTGTAAGATCTGTAGTCTAGCCCATATGAAACTGCTCCCGTTGTCCATGCAAACATACATGTGAAATCCTTCTAACATCCACTTACAAGGAGAGAAGTGTAATATTTGCTGTAACTGGTCCTAAATTTGGAATGGTCTCCAATTCATTGTTGTTCAGTTTCCTATAAATGCCAAAGAGAGAGAGAGAAAGAGAAGCTGATTACACAATCTATTCCATAAAGGTGAAAACGTTATAAATTCATTTAAAGATCCCTCTCCCAAGTTCAAGGTTTTAAATACTGGGTTGGCCAAAAAGTTCACTCCAGTTTTTCCGTAAGACGGTATGGAAAAACCTGAATGAACTTTTTGGTCAACCCAATAACTATTGTAACCCAAATGCTCTTTACAATCAAATACTGTGATGGGTAATATATTTGATTCAAACCTCAAACAGGAAAGAGCTGAACTCACACTTCTCGAAGGCTGTGGAGGTGGCTCAAGGAACTTGCCTTGATGAAAGACAATCTGTTGTGACTTAAGTCCCTGTGGAAAAAAAACAAAAATGAAATTGTAAGTAGTTTCCAAAAATCACTAACAGTGCTTAATGATGTGCAAGACAGAGTGGATTTATGAACTCTCTCTCTCAACACCAGCTACAACATGAGAAATAATTGGTCTATCCTGTCCATAAACTAGAGGGCAAAATCCAAAATACAAACTCTGAGGACAAAATTAGTTTAGGAGGCTCGCAGATTCAAATGCTCCAACCCGCAAATGTTTTAGGAGATGGTTTTTGGCCCAGGGTGAACAGATCTTTGTGAACTGGTTGTTTTGCCTCACCCTCCCCACCCCCTGCCATCTCCTCACTTCCAACCTGATATGATGAAGTCATAGCTTATGAAAAGTGGCTAATTAGGCAGGTTGCTGAAACTAAAACGTCTAAAGAAACCTTTTTATTATTGTAAAACTAAGTATCAAAGTCCTTATTACAGTCAAAGAAAGTAGAGATTGCTTTTCATACATATTTGTTTCCCTGGATTAAGGCACCAAATTATTTAAAGTACTGGGGTGTGTGTTGAGTGGGTAGGACACAATTCTGTGTGTGTGTGTGTGCATGCGTGTGCATGTATTGCGAGGGTAGGAAACAACCCAAACTTTACTTTCCTGAATTTCCCCAAATCTCAATATCTCAATATAAAGTGTAATTTAAAGCATATCAACCACCTAACACAGTTAAGCAGACTGTTCAGAACCCGTGATCAGGTTTCTTTTCAATCATTAAAATAAATCTGCTTCTAACTCAGAGATTCCTTATAACTTAGTAACGTTTCTACAGGACATCAGTATTCAAAAGAAAGCAAAACCAAATTCCTACATGTTCAGGGTTCTAGGTCAGGCCATCAGCCTGCATTCAAGAGTCAAAATGTGAAACAAAACCTGGCAAAATACTTGGTTATAATGACTGCATGCCTTCAAACTGGTCTAATGAAAATGACATTGCTGATCATCTACTGCAAACCAGCCTGACAAACAGGATGGGCGAGAGCTCTGCCCCTGAAAAGTGTGTACCCAATCCTACCAGGTTAATTTCTGCAGTGTTTAAAAGTGAGGATTTTTAAATAACCCAAGTTAGAGATAACCAAACTTGACCGGCGAAGAGCAGGAACCATGTGCTATATATACATAAGTATGCCCTCCCGCTGCCTGCCCCCGCCAAGAAAAACGCAGAGAAATCACATTCAGAGAAGCCCAGTGTTACTCTGTGTACATCCATTAAGTAACAATCAGAAATCAGAGATCCTTTTTAAGTCTTTGCATTTTTTGTTTTGAGAATAAACCTGGATCTCTCTATTTCACCTAAAAGGAAAAAAAAAGTAATTTTTTTTTTTGGCAAAGGTTTTATTTGAAACATATTTGCCTAGAGACCTACCAGACAGTAACAGACACGAGTAGATTTGTTCTGGTAGAGTTATAACATGAAGGAAAAAGAAAAAAAAAAAACCTGGCACAGTCTTTAAACTATAAAAGTCCTGCAATTACAACCACTGCCGTGCATGCTCCCCACGCTGGAGCCAGACACTTTCCCTCACGGCCCAGCTCGAGTCCATCTGGAGTTCATCAAGGAAACCGGGAGTCCAGCGACTCACGTTCGGATTCAGACAAAAACCTGTGTGCTTTTAGCACCACAGACAGTCACAGATTTCCCACGGGCTTTAAAAAACCAGCCAAGGAAAAGAGGCCTTCACCTGGGAGGTAGGCTGAATCAACAGAAAGGCTCATTTGGACTCACTGCCTGTTGGGCTGCCTGTTGGGCTGCATCCCTATTGTTCAGAGGAAAGAGGGCACCCATCTGGCATTTCCAGCTCACACAGGTGATTCCTCTCTAATGAGAAAAAACCAAAACTTCCACTCTTTCATTGTTCTCAGGGCCATGCTGTGAGAAAAATACAAGTTAAAAAAGATGGAGTGCTTCAACTTTTTCCTCCTCCCTACCAGTGGTGGGATGAAACCTCCAACAAAAGACCTTTAAAATGAGAAACTGCCTTCAGAGAACAGGGCAAATGCTGGGGACCCCTCATTTCTGATCCATAAGCTGGAGCAGGTAACCTGAAATAGTTCAGTTACTGCAACACACTTCCATTCCTGAGTTTTGCGTACTATTAAAACCACAGCATGTGTGGGAGAGAAAAACAAACACCCCTGAAGTGACTTTTATTGCTAAATACTTGAAGCCTTGAAACTTTTAATGCACTTAAATTTAGGTTTCATACAGTTTACGTTTCAGAAATGATCCAAGGATGTCACATTTTCGTAAATCTTCCCTTGTATTGTTTTTTATGGCTAGATCACTAAAAATAACACTAAAAACAGATTCAACTTGTACAATGTCAATGTTTTCTGAAATCCCATTACAGTCAGTAAGGCAGGCAGATTCTTTGTGTTCAGAGTTCCAGTAATGAACATCCTCCCCAGGAAACCTTTTCTAAAAAAAACTTTTTGTAATGAGGTTAATAAATGGGAAAGGTGGTGAGGCAGAGAGGTGTTAACTATTTATGCAAAACTCAGCTGGCCAAACACTTGAAAACCAAACTCTACATAGGAGAGAGAAGTCTCTCTTCCTGCATATTAGCAAGTGGATAAATATATATGAAAATAATTCATTTACAACATTTGGTCCCAGCTCTCGTTTTCTTCCTTTTAGCATTTGGAAATCTGACTTCCAAGTCAAATTTTAAAATGCAAATCCGGCACAGCTTCTTAATCAATCCCACCGGGGCCTGCAGAGCTGCTAATTCAGCAGAAATCTGGAAAGCTGAAAAACAAAAAGCCAGGCTGTAGCTGTTTTAAGACACTGATCCAAAGTGACTCATAAATCAGCCTGCTATGTTCAAGTTTTCGTCTGGAAAATACAGAAAAACAGCTGTGAAAACCAGAAGGGCTTTTACCCCCCAACCCCAGCCCCAGTTCTGGTACGGACCAGAGGATTTATCACAGCAGACACTAAAGAAGTCACACCAGCAAAAAGTACCTTCCAAACTTTTTTTTTTGGCCTGAGCTCAGCTAACCCAAACTTTTCTATTGTGATAAGACAAATAATTCTGAAATTCCAGCGAGGTTTTAAAACTACTTGAAGCTCTTATTGACAACTGGGCAACGTTTCCCTCCTTTGGCTAAGTAAACATATTCTAAATAGCTCTCCTCTTTGGGTTCAGAACTCCTTGCAAGCACACAGTCTAGATGTAAACTCAAGTCTGCCTTTAAAGACAGTTGTAAGGAACGCTTCAAATAGTGACTGTTTTAAGAGCCACTTTCATTAAAGTATTAGAAGCTCCTTTAAAAAAAAAAAAAGAGAGAACTGTGATATTATTATTTTACAGCTCAAACAATTCAACTGTTCACCCATGGGATTCTTATGGCCCTAAATCACAACTGAATAAAGTGGAAAAAATACATACACACATGTGTATTAAAGAGATTAAACTTTTAACTTGTCAATTCAACAAATGAAACAAACGCTACACACCAAACTTTTTCTGAAGAATGAGCTCATGAAATATTCCTAAGGCAAACTTTTACTTTCTTAATTACCTGAGGAAAAGGAAGTTAAGATATGGGGAAGAACAATATGCATTTTGCTACGTATTTCTAAACTCGGGGCCAGTCTACCGAAAAGCTTTTCTAATTAAGTAAAGTTTAAGCAGCAGCTCTCTTATGCCTCCTGTTCCAAACACCAAATAACAGAGAAGTTAAAGCTCCATTCTATGCATTTTCCTGCTCATTTCAAACGTGGAGAGAGGAGACCGCTAGAGCTTTAGGCACAAACAAAAGAAACATTGACAATAAAGAATCTAGACCACATGGTTTGGTGACAACGACAAAGTTGGTTACAAGTCACACATGTACAAGAATGACAGAACTGGCCGGTGAGTGATCACGGTGGGGCTTCTGACAACAGACCTAGCGCTTATTTGCACAAGTGGAACTTATTTTCACATACATTTAAGGAATGTAGACTTGCAGTGAGACAATTTACTGCTGGCGGAAATGTAATTAAAGATTGTGCTAACCAAATAAACTGTAATTTGCTTTAGTGTGCCACCAAATTATCTGGAAAACAAAATCCTAATTAGGTCAACTGCTTTTAAGACAACGTTTAAATAGGTATCAAACCCCTTTTGGTTTAACTCAACTTCTAATCTAGAGCACGACAGTTTTAAGACGCCCAATTTTTAAAAAAGACATTCACACAAAAATATATTGCACACCGGCATGATCCGACAGGCCACTTCACTCAAGAGAAACTACTGAAAGTTAGAGCACGTGAATGGTCTGAGCCATTCTCAACACACCCCAGGAAGCACCATGTCCATTCTTTCTCAACCCTCTATTATTCATACGTGTTCACCTCCAGTCATTCAAATGTTCAGTTCCACATGTTGTCAATAGAGCCATTCACATCTCATGAATAAGGCAGCATGACCTCCACAAGAGGCAATTGAACAGAATTAGCCACAACTAATTGAAAGTCTCCCTGTTTTAGGTTAAAGTCCTTATCTCCTTCTTCAACTGTAATAAAGACCACTAAACAAGACATCCCATGATAAGAGATTACATATCAGTCTAAAACTCTTCTTCACTTTTTTACAAATTAAGGCACATCAACACAAAGCATATGCTTTTCCATAGTTGACAATTCTATATCTCACAAAAAGACTCTGGTGAGTATAGAGATTTAAAAACGCAGTTTTTTAAACAACGTGTCCAAACTTTCTACCATTACTATTTGGAATGTTAGGACAGTGGACTAGAAGTTTCAAGAGTTTCAAATCTCCACTACTACTCTGTTAGGCCTAAATCTGAGTATTACCGATGCATTTTGCTTCTTTTCAACAGGATAGCTACTTGAAAAGAAAGAAAGAAAGAAAGACATACAAGTTTTGACTGTTAACATTTTGCACCAGTCCTCCAATTTTAACAAAACGAGGGCTCGGAGAGAAGGAGACGACATTTGGAAAAAATTAGCCTTTCCAACTAAACGGAATTTTCTTCCTTGTTCTTTCACGCAGTTGGCAGTGATTTCAGGTTTTTCAGACTGCATAGCTAGCATCCAAAAACTTGCGTAACAGCACCCCGCGCTCTCTCCTAAACCGCCTGGTCACGCTGAGAAGCCCCAGAAATCACGCCTTCGGTTCTGAAAAAAAACTCTAGTTCCTTCCCTTCCATATCTACTGCTTAGTCTTGCCAACTTCTTACTGGAATGGGGATGTGCTACAGTTTGGTCGAAGAGAGGAATTTATGGAATTTACTAACGCGAAATTAAGCGAGGGTAAAGAACAACAAAATGATGTCTACCATTGCTTGGATAGTGACCTAACTGTTGAAAGGGCTTCCCAAACTAAAGAGCGCGCTGGGCTACTATAGTGCTGGGAACGCAAAAGGTGACTTGAACCTGTTAGAAACTATAGTTGAGCCGCGGGATCAGACTCGTACAGTGAGAACACAGAACTCAGGGCGGCCGAAGGGTGCCAGCTCTCCCGCCCCGGACGGGCAAGGGCGCGCATCTGAGCCCCCCAGGCGAGCTCCGCGCAGGACGCGGATTCTGCGCCCCGGGAGTTGTCAGTAGCTCCATCTCTTCGCCCAAGTGCGGCCGGGTGGGGCAGGCCAGGGCCCACCTGCGCGGTCCCCCAAGCGCCGGGGGACGGAGAGGGGCTGAGGCGCGGTCAGCTCCTTTTCCATCCCCGCGGGGCGCCGCTCGAGGCCTGGGCCAAGACGGGGTGCCCGGAAAAAGCTGCTGCGCGCCTAGCATCCTGGCCCCTAGCCTGCAGTCCCGAAACTCACGCGGTTCCCCCTCCGCCCGTTGGAAGAACACTTACAGCCGAGCGATCCAGGACGGAAGCGGCTCGGGAAGGTGCGCCAGCCGCTGGCGACTGCAGTCCAGGAGGTCCCCGAGGCAGCGGCACGGAGCGGGACACGGGTGCTCAGCGCCGACCCCAGAAGGCGGCCCCAGCGCCTCGAGGCCGCCGCCCTCGGCCGGGGCCGCGTGCCCCAGCACCTCGCATAGCAGCAGCCCCAGCGCCGCCGCGAGCGCGCGGAGCCTTGGCGCGCCCATCGTGGTCCCGCAGCCCCTCGCTCGGCCCGGGTCTCCGCAGGCGGCGGGCACTCGGGGCCCGGCACCAACTTCCAGCCGGGAGTGGACGCCCGCGCTCGGGGCCGCGTGCGCGCCCCCCCCCTCGCGCGCTCGCAGGTAAGCCCCTTTTTTCTCAGTCCAGACAGCGGAGCTCTTTCGTGCCCCGGGGCAGCGACAGGGAAACCGAAAACCACGACCAGCGGTGGCAGAGTTGCAGGGCGAGTAGCGTCCGCGCACCGAGGCCCTTCTTGCCCGCAAAAGAAACTTTTTCGCCTCCTCCTTGCCGCGGAGCGCCAAGCCCCGGTGCGCCGGGGCCGAGGGGCGGTGCTGCCCAGACCCGCGCGCGCCCATTGGCCAGCCCGGTCTGTAGCCTTCGCGGCCACGTGACAACAACAAGGTTCCCGCCCCCGGCCGGAGCGCGGGAGAAAGTGGGGCTGAGATTGTAGGAAATTCGGAGTTATATTTTCCAGCCTCTCGGGCCACAAGTCTCCACTACGTCCTGGGAAGCGTATATCAAATGGAGTTGAAGAGAAAAAAGGAGTGAGCAAACAAGTGAGCACTTTTTAGGCCAGCTTTCGGAGTAGGAGGTATTTCGGGGCACTTCCAGGGAGCAAAGTTAAGTTCTATTATTAGGAGACCTTGCATTCCAATTTTTAAAAAGAAGTATAAATTATCTTACCATCCACACAGGAAACAATGATTTAAATAAAAATACAGGCTTGTTTTTTTTTTTTTTAAATCTTAAACACTGGTTGGGTTTTTTCCCATATGTCAGTTCTAATAGTAAAACGAATTATAAAATGTAAAAGTCATGGTATTAGAAACGGTATACTGAGTTACAAATAGCCAGCCTTAGTGCATTGGATAGAGCTGGGAGGAAAGTGTGGGAAATGACCTTCTAGTATACTGCATTGGCAATCATAGATTGCATGCAATGAGTAAAACAAAACGAAACAAAATAAAAAAAAGTAGTCACCATAATATTTTAAAGCCAAATGAAAACAAGGACCTTGGAGGAAAAATTAATATATTCACCATGGTTCACCTGTGCCTTGAGTGATGACAAATAGTGATTGAGAATGCTATCAGACTAGAAGTAATACTTACCTGTTCCCTCTGCAGGGGGATGATTCAGGCCCACAGGACTTGCCAGTGAAGTCTGTACCCTGACTTACCCTTGCAGGTGACTGCGGCCACAGGAAATGATGGAGACCTCAGAGACCAAATGGGAACGCCCTCCTCCGCTGGGTGAGGAGATACACCCGGAGAAGGTAACTAACTTCTTTGTAGCAAAAACTGAAAACTTACTTTAAACTTTCAGGAATTCCCTGGCAGTCCAGTGGTCACACCACCGTGGGCTTCCATTGCAGGGGGCACAGGTTTGATCCCAAGTCGGGGAATTAAGATCCTGCAAGCTGTGTGGTCGTGGTCAAAAAGTAATAAAGTGCCACCAGATCAGCAGTGAGTTCATCATGTGGACTGCCCTGGCAATGCAGTGGTTGACTTCAATTTTCAAAGTAGGTGGGTGGGCACCAGACTGATCCCTGGTCAGGGAAATAATATCCCACCTGCTGTTTGGTACAATCAAAAGCTAAAGAGTGAAAAAAAAAACCAAAAAACCGTTCACCTCCACAACCTGTTTCTTGAGTGTCTGTCATCTGCCAAAGCATCCCTTGGGGCTGCTCATTACTGAAGAGTGGAAGCCGCTCGGAGAAGTGAGTTTAACTGCAACTCACACTCACTGATTTCCACTGTAGCCAGTTACCTGAATGAACAGTCAGATTCATGAGGGTGGAGAAAGATTCAACTCGGAAGTTTAGATGTGACATCCCAGTCTCTTCTTTCCAGCGACCGTTGACATCCAGCCCACCACTTTTTTTTTTCTTTTTTGACGAGTACAGTTAGAAAATATTTATAATGAAGGCACTTCAGTTTTGAGTGATCATTTTGCCTACTTGGGGGTGGTCAAGGCACACCCCAGTTACGGTATAGATTTTCCAGCTCAGTCGCTCTCCTCTATTTTAAATATGGAAAATCAGGCTTAGTGAATTGAATTGGAGTTTTTAAAAAGAAGAAAGATGCCAGTATACACATGCCATTAAGTATAGGCATGGTGCCGCCAGTATGGTGGCTTGCTCATTGATGTGTCACGCCTGTGACAAATAGCTACCTCTTGGGGGTGGGTTGGCTCACTTTCCTTCTGCATTCTCTACTCTCCTTATATTATTTCATCTGCTTTTGTGGAATTCCATTTACATCCACATGCTGATATTTGCCACATCCATATTTCTAGCCCAGATGTTTCTCCTAAACTCTAGACCCATATATTCAACCACTCATAGGTGTCTCAAATTGGATATTCAAATATAACAACATTTCTAGAATTCAATTTCACCACCCTTGAAGCTTATTCCTTTTCCTCCTGAATTTACTATCTCAAGGAAGGATACCTGACTCCATTCAGATGACTACTGCCCCTTAGATTTCCTCATTCTCACCACCACCGCTGCAATCAATCAATTAGCAAGTCCTAATGAAGCTAGCAGCTAAAGACATCTCCTATCTCCATAGACATTATGCAAACCCAGCCCCACATCAGCTCTTGCTTGGTTGACTGCCACATTCCAGTCCTTTCTCCACAGTGCAGTCAAGGGATATCACAAAAGCTCAAATCTGCTCCTGTAATTCCACTGCCTAGTTCTTTTCTCGGGCTCCCATTGTCCTCAAAGTAGAGTTTAAATTCCCGAGAGTGACTTATGCGGTATTCACGTGGGCCTGGCCTCTGCTTGCCTCTTTAACTCATTTTATTTGCTCGTCTCTCTTTTACTCTAGGACCTACTTGCGGTTCTCTTCCCGTGCTGTGCTCCTTGCCTTTGGGCTTCTTTCACATACTGGTCCCTCTGTCCAGATCACTCTCTGTCCCTGGTCTGTCTGATTGGTTGGCCCTTCAACTTAAGCATCCTTCTTTTGGAGACGGTTTCCATGAGTCCTGTTTTGGCTATCCCTCTAATGCATTCCCAGAACATCCAGTATTCACTGGAATTTAACTGGCCATTTCTACTCTAGTACTTCCTAACTAATGCTTAGAATTATTTCCACATAACCACACTTCCTGTATATCCTTTAAGGGTTTACCAAGTATGTGCTGTTAAATTATTTAAATTTTCAGTACCTCAGTTTCTTCATCTGTAAGTTGGGAATACAATAAACACTCTCTTATTACCTGATTTCCATTCATCTGTTTACTGCATTAGCTATCATTCTCTGCCCTCATGTAAGATTTATGGCCTAATGCCCAAGACAAGCGGAAATCCAGTGGCTACCAGCCCCTCCCCAGTCCTCTATTTGCATGTTTGCTCCTACTCATTGTAGTTCCAGACTTGTTCATATCTGTAATTACACAGTTAAATTAAATATTGCATCAACCACATACAAGTGAAACCAGAAAGTAACTTCATTTCTATCATAATGAATTTGAAGCTTGGGAAAGATTCTTTACAGATAATTACTAATACCCAGTGCTATCAGATTAGATTTGCATGAGACAGTTGTAAAAACTGGGGAGAAGTTAGAAATCTAGATTTCTTCACACTGATTGCTTTGCAAGCATCTTTAAGTTCTTGTTCCACTTTAAATTTTAAACTGGGAATCAATTAGCGGGGGGTGTTTTATGGGTGTGATTTGTGCTTATTCAGAACTTCCCGTGGTTTTTGAGAAAGTGGACTATGATGATATGGAAAGGATGTGTTTCACATTAAATATGGCTATTCTCCAGCTCAATGGGCTTCCCAGGTGGCCCAGGGGTAAAGAATCTGCCTGCCATGTAGGAGACCTGGGTTTGATCGCTGGGTCAGGAAGGTTCCCTAGAGAAGGAAATGGCAACCCGCTCCAGTATCCTGGCCCAGGAAATCCCACGGAACAGATTCCGTGGGATCACAAAAGAGTGGGATCTAACTTAGCAACTGAGCCGGAACACCATCCCAGTAGATCCTGAGCCATGCAGTCAGTAGAAAGAGGAACTGGTTCTATGTGGGAACTTTAAATCAGTGTAATGTTTTCACCAACTTCCCAAACCCTTCACAGAGGACAGGGCAGAACCTCCATGGCTTGTCTCCCTGAGCAGGTGAGAACAGATTGTTTCTGAGATCCCTCACAGCCCTGTGTAGCTTCCTCTAGTATTGATATCTGAACAATAGGGATGAAGGCACAGCGCCAGGAAAAATGGTCTGTATTGGAGGGAAAAAAGAAACATAAAATTTTGTATAATTTCCCGAAATCTATCAGTGAATAACAATGATCCCCAAAACACCCTTTATGTGTCACTGAATTCTTTGACCCTCTCATGGTGGTGGTGTTCTGCACACACACACACGCGCACACACACACACGCGCACACACACGTGCATGCACACACACAGAGTATTGTAGTATCAAATGGCAATTCTCAGCTTCTGCATCTAATCTTTCATAAATAAGGATTTAGTGTGAGGTGATCAGATTCATTTCGAATGTAGGTCTTTTAACATTTGGATTAAAACGCTCGAGTGTTGAATTTCTCTACTCCTTAGAGGTTTAACTGGTTAACTGGGCAGTTGAAAGTTGACTCTCCATTGGAAATGACCTAAATCACAGCAGACAGTTTCTCATTTATAACTTTGTCCTGGAGAATGGCAAGGCCCATCCATTTTCCAAACAGCCTCCTACCGTCCATTCTGTGGTTAGTGCAACCCAGCCCCAGTGCGCTTTAAAGTTTTCCTGTGTGTTTTTTTTTTCTTTCCCTCTGGCAAGTGTGAGACTTTCTTATCTTGAGTGCTGGCAAGGGTAATGCCTCACTGATAAAAAGTAATAGAGGTGCTAAGCTGTCAGCTTTAACATCCAAGGACAAGAATGAAAGCTAAACACTCAGTACTTGCTTTATCATTACAATGAATGACACAGTTTGTGTGAGTGTGAACTGTGAAAAGGGAAAAGAGATAAGGCAG